CGAAGGCAGGTCCGAAGCGAACGACCTGGCCCTGCGCATTGCCAAAGACTACACAGGCGGCACTGAAGTAATCGTTGTTGAACAGTAAGCTCGCAAGGTGCGGACGTTCGAACGTCAGCATTCGCCTATCTTTTCTGCAGCGCTTATCATGGCCATCTTACGTCAATGATTGATATCAGTCCTTACAAGTTCAACGGAAAAGGTGGATCGGGAAAGCCAGATCATGTATACGTCGTAGGCTGTTGGAAATACCGAGAGACTATTAAGTGAAGTTAGAAAATAAGGTTCCTAGGCACCTTGTCCTGACGTGTATCGCGGAAAATGGCGCTTGCCTACGGAAAAGCTAGACGACAAGGAGAGTTTGACAAAAATGGGTGCCAAATATGCTCTTGAAGTCAAGATGCTGTGCGATCAAATTGCTTCCAAAGGACGACGCCTGGCTGCCTTCTTTATGGAAGCTTTGATAAGCTGTGGTGGGCAAGTGTTCCCTCCCGAAGGCTATCTTCGTGACGTCATTGAGTAAGGCCAAATAAATGTTGGTAAATATATATATATGTTGTATTATACACGTTTTTTCAAGCTACGTCCATGAGGCAGGTGGACTAGTGATAGTCGACGAAGTGCAAACTGGGTTCGGCCGAGCTGGAAGCGTTTTTTGGGCGTATCAAAGTCATTGCCCAGGTAAGCATTTCAGTTTACTTCTTCTAGCTTGTATGAATAAGTTGCGCAGACTCGGCACCAGATATGATTACTATGGGCAAACCGATGGGTAATGGTTATCCTGTGGCTGCAGTGGTCACTCGACGGCCGGTGGCTGACGAGTTTGGCCATGGAATGGAGTACTTTAACACAGTATGCAGCGTTGGTATTTTGCCAAGTGGAAAGCTAACCAATTATCCAAATTTAGTACGGAGGAAATCCCGTTTCCTGCGCTGCGGCTTTGGCTGTCTTGAACGTTTTGGAGGAGGAACAGTTGCAAGAAAATGCTAGGAACGTAGGTGCCTATTTGCTAGAGCGACTGCGATGGTTGCAAGGCAGACACAGTTCAGTGGTAGGCCACGTAAGGGCATTAGGTTTATTTGCCGGTATTGATCTGGTGACCAACTTGGAAAGTCGTTTGCCAGCAACTCAGTTGGCCGCGAAAGTAGTTTCAGAGTACGTGTTTATACTCATGTTCTAATGTCTATTGACAATGGGTTTGCAGAATGCGCAAGAAACAGGTTTGCATAAGCAGTGAAGGCCCTCATGGCAATATACTTAAATTCAAACCGCCCATATGCTTCACTAAAACCAATGTGGACGAGGTATCATGTAGACGGCGTTGTTAATTATAACCTCACAATGGTTGTTTAATTTCAGATGATAAAAGCGTTGGATGAAACATTAGTAGAAGTCACTTCATCGCCACGGAATTTGTCATAACTGGACAAGAGATAGGAAGGCTCATTGTTTTCGTAATGATGCCGCTAAATCTTCAGGGTTGATGTTAAAACGTAGACAACGGTTTAGATCGTTTGCATCATTAGTGGCCATAAAAATACCGGCACCAATAAAAGTCTGCATCATGAAGCGCAGTTGTTCGTAACCCAAAGTCTCAAGGCATTCAGTGGAGCAAAAAGATCGATAGTGTTTCAGCAGAGCCGAAAATGCGATCTCTTCCGTACCTATGCGATTGTATTCACTTACGGCGGCGCGTAAAAGCAATTGTTCATGCATAGATGCATTCCTAACGGACAAAGCTATTTATAAAGGGCGGTTGAAACGTAAATCCCTACCGTATAAATTGGAACTTCAGATTGCCGGCCATGTGTTTCAGTGCGGCATTGACGTGAGCAATGCCCAACTTGGGAAATTGCTGCGGGGCGTTTGAACGTTGCCCGTTGGTGGATTGGTCAGCTGCTTGTTCCTTGGCAATGTCGACTGCCAGACGACATATTTCAAGACCACGACGGAGATCACCGGATACGGAAGCAACCTTTCGACTTACCAACTGAAGTGCATCCGAAGAGATTAAGGTTGAACCAGCAAGTCGTTGTTCCAAAATTTTTTTAATTTCAATGTGCGTGTACGGTTGGAAGCAAAGTCTTGTAATACCCTTGAAAACAACGATTGCGCGAAATGAAAAAACAGTGGTAACAAATTTACGGTGTCAAAATGATTACTGCTTAAAGCAACTTCTCACACCGATAGGAAGCGCCCAACTGGCGGCAGTTGAACAATTTCTAATAATTAAGCATGACAAAGAAGAATCAATGCTCCGCCAAGTGACTAATCCGACAGCAACAGCGACTTAAGGTGCAAAATTATTAATAGAACAATTATTCGAACGTTTCAAGAAAAAAACAAAAACTTGTTCGGTATAGCAAAAAAAGATGAGTGATATTAACTATTCACTTAGGAATTTTAAGGATGGCAGAAACAAATGTTTTGCAAACCGCAGTGCGATGTCAACAGTGGAAAAAGTATGGAGCTGCGGGGGTTTGAACCCCGGACTTCCCGCATGCGAAGCGGGCGCTCTACCACTGAGCTACAGCCCCACAATCTTCGCAGCTGCGATATCGCAACAGAACAAAGAAAAGCAACAATTTACTTTTCCGTGAAACAACATTCCAAGTGGTCTTTCCTTCTATCTACCCGCAAACAAGTCATATCGATCACGTTGGCCTATATAAGTCAAAAGTGATGGCTTTCCTTGACTGCTTGTCATGACGCATCAGTGCATGCATTCTGTGCAGCGGCTCTTCTTTCCGCCAACGTGCACGCGTCTGGCATACGACGAGCGACGTAAACGTAGTGTTCTAATAGTTTCTAATGTTACTAGCAATGAGTGCACGCCGACTGGGTGTGCTCTGTCGAAGCGTAAGCTGCAAAGGAGACGGAAGCACGTATTTATTGCGGTGTCATAAGTAGCAGCGCGGTGTTGCGTAGCAGTAATCTTCTCCAATTTTGGTTTAAGCTTAGGTGGCATAGTCTGACAGTTAGTAACTCAGGTCCAAGAAGCTCGTTATGAGCGTTTCTTACATAAACTGCTAACTCGAAAATGAGTTGGTGCAGCGACATTTTGGACGCGGTGACCTTAGCGCCCACGATGATGCTTCAGAAAGATCTTGTGCGACGTAGTGCTTCCGTTGGCTGCTTGTCACGATCTCCTCGATTGTGGCCAGTCAGCGAAAGCCCTCAGATATGACGCACGTATGTAGGTCAAGATGGCCGATGAGCGTTTTTGCGGGCAAACAAAGGAAAGACACCCTTGGAGTGTTCTTCCGCTAAAAATCAAATTGTAGCGCCTCCTCTTGCGTTAGTAATAACCATGCCTTGAATTGTACACATCGTATGTTTATTTTTCAAAGTCTGTGGGGCTGTAGCTCAGTGGTAGAGCGCCCGCTTCGCATGCGGGAAGTCCGGGGTTCAAACCCCCGCAGCTCCATTACTTTGCCGCACACTGATGTCACAAAGCGTCAACAATGATATATTTAATTGGAAATGGCACGATCCGAAGTTCAGCGCGTAATCTTCAACTTGCTGCTTCCTTTGGAAACAATACTCATGATTAACCGTGTACGCAAATATTAACACCTCAGTACCTACTCCAGCACAAAATTCTCCTCACTTAAACGTAAGAAGAACTTAAACACACACGCGTCAGCCTTTACTAAAAAATATTACAGTAGAACCTCTATTATGCAAACCCCATTCTGCAGAGGGTAATTCAAATAATAGAGCCTCTCTGGAAAAACGGGAGGCGGGAAAGATAGCAATATTCTACGCTTGAGCTTTTATTTTCGAAACGCGTATAAACTATTGAATCTTCAGTCATTTATGCCCACTCTACCGTCCACCTTTTGCGATGTTCACGTTCGATGTCCTGTCAGAGCTACTCAGCCCACGTCCCACCGATAATATGGGCCCCACATAATGGAGGGTCCACTGCATCTAATAAACGGCAATCAGTTACAAGAGATAAAGAGTAGGAGTATGTAACCCATCTATGGGCCCTACCCTCCTCCTAAGGGAACAGCAGGCAACGTTGAAGAGTTCGTTCAATAGTTCACATGCACTATCAGCCATGAACGGCAGCCATATACCAAACCAGGCACAAGAAGGGAAAAGAAGTGCAGGTGAAATGAACGAATGATGAGAACTTCTCTTCCTCGCTTTCTAAAATCAACATTCCGGAACATTCCGCAGATTCGGTCATTTCAGCAGCCTCCTTCCTAAATTGTATTTCAACTTGCCAAGGCGGAAATCTCAATGTCCTGTGTTCACGAATCAATAATACATAACTTGGTCATTTTTACACCTTAATTCTATTGTGACGTCCCAACTGCCGACGCGGGGCTGTAGCTCAGTGGTAGAGCGTCCGCTTTGCATGCGGAAGGCCCGGGGTTCAAACCCCCGCAGCTCCATTATGACGTCATACCATCCTGTCATTTTTTGAGACAAGCGATAAAAGAAGTCCAGCAAAAGCATATCTACAACTTCAGTTCTCACCCTCTATAAACTTACTCATCTGCTAATCATTCACTTTGACCTAAGTTTTCTGCGTCATTCGTTAGTCAAGGGAAGCAGCGAAGTACTCACATCATCCATATTTTTAACCTGACTATCCACTTTCTTGTGCCTTCGTGAAAACTCATCCCGCATCTTTAACTGCCCCCTACGCTTAAGTAAGCTTACGTTGATACGTGCACAAAAGTACGTACCTACACTACTAATCATGAACAGCATTGACTTTCTCAATTGAGCACAAAAAATAAAGATCACAAGTTCAACTTTGAATAACGCTTATTCCCATTTTCTCTATCACTATTGTCATCACATCACATCGAAATATGACACACTAATGGAGCTGCGGGGGTTCGAAACCCGGACTTTCCGCATGCGAAGCGGACGCTCTACCACTGAGCTACAGCCCCATGCATGCCCTATTGTAACGTATGAAAGTCCGCAAAAACTTCAGCCACTACGTCAAAATCATTGATGCTCGCTTAAGGGAACGCGGGGCTCTAGTTCAGTGCTACAGCGTCCGCTTTGCCTGCGTAAGGCCCGGGGTTCAAGCCCCCGCAGCTCCATTATGACGTCGCATTCTCATGCCACGCGATGACAATAATGATACAAGGAATGCGAATAAGCATTATTCAAAGTTCAACGTGCGATCTTTCTTTTATGTGCTCATTTTGGAAAATCAATGCTGTTGATGATCAGCCGTGCACTTAAATACTTCAGTGCACGCATCAACATAACCTTATCTGAAAGGAGCTGGAAATTAGA